ATTTGTTTGTAGGAGCATCATTCATTTGTATAACTGATGCCACTATATCATTTCGTCAGAGTGTCAAAGACACATTGCGAAAGTTCGATAAGAGCAAAGAGCAATCATCAAACGACAACTACATCAAAACATGCAAGAAGTATATTGCAAAAGAAACTGGCACAGGCTCAAAGTGAAATTTCTGCGAAATCGCTAAAATCAGAAACAAAGCAAAGCTTCTCACTGAAAACTTGGACGGAATCTGTCAGGAGAGAAACAGTCAATACAAAAAGGCGGTCATGCACAACCGTGACCAGATTGAACGCGCAGATTAGATCAGATAAATATGTTGCAAATTTGATATTCGGTTTACCTTAGTTTTAAACTTGTAGGTTACAATACGTAATCGACTTTGTCCGGTGCTATCTGAAGTAGCTTCTGTATATTTTCCAGTTTGCAGATCAAATGAAAACATTCAGCGGGGAGATCTTCGAGTAATCTAAGTTAAAGATGTATTCCCGTGCCATTTTCGAATTTCAATTCAAAAGATAGACTTTTGTTTTCATTTTTTCCCTCTAGCAATATAAACCTATTCACTTTTGAATGAGACATTGAAAAAAAATCCACCGACGTTTACATATTGAATTATTTCTTTACAAAATACATGCATACAAATTGTATAATCATCTGGAGAAAAAACGAATCTATTTTTAAGAGGATTGGGTAGGCATCTTAATTTAGCTCTATACATTTTGCGAATATTCTTTTCTTTACCAAAAAGACAGTTCGTTTAAATAATTGTGTTCGAGCTAAAAAAAAGCTACATATTGTTCAGATGTAAATAACCAAATGTAAACAGACGGAACATCAATTTCATATTCTTAGAATTAGACCGGTATTATCAGTTTAATTCTTCAAACTCTTGGATGTTGTTTCCTCTTCGACATTTTGGAAGGAAGTTTCTTAAGGGGGAGAACATTCGAGAATATGCGTAAAAATTAAGTCCGTTGATCGACATGAAATTTGGGCAGTTAAAGCAACACCCTTCTCCATTTGCTCTTTTCGTTTGAAGCAAATCTCATAAGTATGCCCAAGTTTATGACAAAAACTGCAGATCGGTCTGTTATTTCGCCATGACGATTTCGGCGAATTACTGGCAGGATTAGCCTGTTGCTCTTTGGAGCTCGGCCCTGATTCCTTAGCGGAATTTTTGTCCGACCCAGGACTTGAGTTTGAAGATTTAGGTTTTGAATTTCCGCCATAGTTATGCCATCGTTTTTGAGAGTTAAAACTCGACTGACCAAAAGACTGACGATGGGATAATTCAAAGTCATCTGCCATAATGGCAGCAGCCTCAAGTTTTTCTTCTCCTCTATCTGATGAATGAGTTTTGATCTGGTTGGGAAGACAGCTTTTGAACTCTTCAAGTAACATGAGATTACGTAATTTTTCAAAGTCTTTCCCTATTTCTTTGGAATAAGTCCATCGATCAAACTGATTGGCTTTTCCCTAGCAAAGTCTACATACGTCTGATTTTGTGGTCTCTGTTTAACATTTCTGAATTTCTGCCTGTAAGCCTCTGGCACAAGTTCGTAAGCCTTCAAAATCCTTTGCTTTACGATATCATAGTCTGAGCTCTGCTCTGCTGACAATGCGGAATACACATTTTTTGCTTTTCCCTCAAATACACTGTGGAGTAAGGTGGTCCAATGTTCTTTAGGCCACTTAACTTTTTCAGCCAAATTCTCAAACGATGTGAAATATTTCGCAACTTCTTTATGATCGAATTTTGGGACCAACCTGATGTTTTTAGCAAAGTCAAAGCCAGAATGACTAGTTTTATTTTGCCCTTGCAGTTCCAGTTCTTTCATTTTCAATTCGTGATTCATTCTCTCACGCTCAAAATTCAACCTTTGTATTTCTGTTTCCTTTTCAATTTCTCTTATTCGAAGTTGTCATTTTAAGGTTTCCAATTCATGCTGACTAGAGGAAAGTTCGGTTTCAGATTCCATATACCCATTTTCTATGAGTGCCTTACTTACTACTCGGTTTAAATGTGCCTTTTTGGCTCCGCCTATGACCTTAACCTCAAGGCTTTCTGCCAGGGTAACTAGTTCATCTCTAGACAAATCATCTACATCTTGGAACGTCAACTCTGGTCTGCCTAAACACTCTTCAACTGAGAAACTCATTTTGGCAGAGAGAATTATCACAATGAATATTAGGCCGTACACGTAATCTTCGTCAAAGCAACCGTTGATACGGGTTCAAGTTTCGATGAATGTTTGGCTTTCAGTTCATTTCCATGACAAGCCCACAATAATATCTGTTACGAAGTCAGATATTCGCTGTTGTGGTTTTAGGGTTGAATAATAATGTAAAATGAGACGGACAAGACAGAACCCATAAAGAAAGGACGACTGAGACGAAGATTAAGTTTCAAAGAATGAAATTAAATTAACTTCTCTCAAGTCAAGAATATTAACACTTCTACATTAAATCCCAAAATACAATATAATGAATTATAAATAAGTTAAGGGGATACAGGTATCCATAACGAAAGAGGGGTGAGATGAGGGGCGTGGACGGAGCGGTGTGGCGGCTTGAGATCCATGTTGTCGGCTTGAGGTCATCGGAGAGTCAGGTCTTGGTTCCCCGGCATGATAGGGCCTCAGGCTTGGATCTTGGACATCATGGTCTTGGTCTTCATGGTCATTGTCTTGGTCTTGGTCTTGGTCTTGGCTTGATCATTGGTCGCTTGGGCTTGGACCATGTAGACAGCCGGAACGTGGTATTTGGCTGGAGAGCGGCAGCGATGATACGTCCCTCGTGAGGAGTAGGAGCTGTAGCGTGATCACGAAACGCCCAGGTTTATAAGGGGTCATTTAGTCGCATTGATTAAACATGAATACAAGTTCCTAAGAACCCACAAATGTGCGTTACGTGATGTGTACGGCTTGCGTGAATAATTAACTTAGTTTTAGAATAATTAACTTACTTCTAGAGTGACAAGCTACCGAGAATGTTATGTATATGGAGACTGTAAATGTACCTTCGCAAGGTGGGATCGCAGCATTCCAGCGATTGTAACGGGGGGGGGGAGACTTGTTTGAAGCGTTGGACCGCCCTTTTCCCCACTCTCTCACCTGTATTCAGTACACGAACCCGTTGAGAAAAAGGGATGAGTTATTTTTTTTGGGGGGGGTAGGGGTGTGTGAAAGGTACAAGCGCACAGCAGCTGAATTGGTCACAGAGAGTGGGTGAAAATCCCTACGCTGTCCAAGTTAAAACAATAACGAAATTATAAAACACATAAAATCCAATAACGTGATATACATTTTCCGGTTAATCAGGAAAAAAATACATCCTGTGTGCATGCAATGTCCGTTTTTGGCTTCTGTAGTTTCACCGATTTTAGCTTCTGTGGTTTCACCGTCACACACAGAGCGGCTGCTGCCTAAACTTTGAACTTGAATTAGGTGCATTCATTGTGCGCTGGTACTGGGGACGAACGTGTACCACTACCGAGCGATTGCAATAGCAACTGGTTTTCCCAGTGATGAGTAAATGGAGCTGCGCGGTATTGAATGCTGTATGTTGCGCCATACACGGGTCTATAATAGTGTAGAGGGACTTTGAACTTGAATTAAGGAGTTTATTGTTAGCTGCATGGAAGGTACATGTACATGTACATGTACATTATACTGTGCGACAGAAATAGGAACTGGTTTTTCCCATGTTCAGTTGTCGCTGCACCATTCATCGCTCGATTATGTAGGCCTAGGGTATATGCAAGGCTACAACAAAGGATGAGTACACTTGTCTACGACATCGGTGTAAAAACACTAATTTTCACTACTCGTGTTCTGGTTTAATTATGAACATTTTATTTATTTATTTTTTTTTTAATTTTTTTTTTTTTGTGGGGGGGGGGGTGGGGGTGGGGGCGGCGTGTGTGAAAGGTACAAGCACACAACAGCTGAATTGGTCACAAATGAGAGTGGGTGAAAATCCCTACGTTGTCCAAGTTGTATGTGTGTTTTAAGTTATATTTCCGGGTATGGATGTGATATAAGACAGACCAATTTAAGCACGAGGTGGCAAAATACTGGTCCTAGACGCAATCGAATATTTAGTATTTAAGGAATGTTAAAACAATAACGAAATTATACAAACACATACAATCCGATAACGTGATATACATTTTCCGGTTAGTCCAAAAAAAAAAAAATACATCCAGTGTGCATGAAATGTCCGTTTTTAGCTTCTGTAGTTTCACCGATTTTAGCTTCTGTGGTTTCACCGTCACGCACAGAGCGGCTGCTGCTTGAACTTTGAACTTGAATTAGGTGCATTCATTGTGCGCTGGTACTGGGGACGAACGTGTACCAGTACCGAGCGATTGCAATAGCAACTGGTTTTCCCAGTGATGAGTAAATGGAGCTGCGCGGTATTGAATGCTGTATGTTGCGCCATACACGGGTCTATAATAGTGTAGAGGGACTTTGAACTTGAATTAAGGAGTTTATTGTTAAGCTACATGGAAGGTACATGTACATGTACATTATACTGTGCGACAGAAATAGGAACTGGTTTTTCCCATGTTCAGTTGTCGCTGCACCATTCATCGCTCGATTATGTAGGCCTAGGGTATATGCAAGGCTACAACATTTAATGGTAGTTTTGCCGTTTCCTGTGTGTAAAAGGGGAATTGTCACGCTAAATATCTGTTTTGAAGACTTCAGCTAGCCGTTTAATCAGCAAGGTTGGTGAGTAAACTTTGTGTTTTGTTAAAGTTAACGTCATTTTGTGTGAAATAGCTGTGAATAACATTCATGGCATTTGCTTGCACAAGTAGCTTTTCAATCAATGTGATGAGAGAGTACAAGCTAGTTATGTGGAGTCAATTAATGGATACCCCTTCATCACACCTCTATCTGTTGAACAATTGGACTGTTTGTGGATGAAATAACAGACAAGCAGTTTTTTTTTTATGTTTTGGTTAGGATATAAATTTGAAGATGGCGGAAGCTGCAGCTAAAACCGTGTTGGACAGGATCAGCCAGGGACATCTGGAATGTCCGATCTGTTGCTGTCGATTCAAGGATCCCAAGATGCTGGACTGTCTACACAGCTTCTGCCTGAACTGTCTGGAAGAAATGATGAGCAAACAGAAGTCAGAGACAGAGAAGATAACATGTCCAGTCTGCAGGAGAGAGACGCAAGTTCCCGATGAGGGATTGCAGAGTCTTTCTTCCAGCTTCTTTTTGATTTCTCTTGTCGATGAAATAAAAACACAGGAGCAGTTATTAGGAAAGGAAACTACTAATGCGTCATGTGAATCTTGTGAAGAAGGACAGGAGGCCGTATCAAGATGTCTTGACTGCAAGGAGAACATCTGCAAGAAATGCCAAGAGGCACACCAGTTTCTGAAGTACACTAAAGACCATCGCATCATTCCAACAGAGGATTTGGACAAATTAAGGGTTTTACCAACAGATGTGACCAAGGCTGTCGTACCAAAATGTCGGGAGCACATTGAACAGCCTTTATGTTTTCACTGTGAAACCTGTGATATATTGATTTGCTCAATGTGTGCTGCAACAGAACACCGGTCAGCGGAACATAAGTTCGTTGGTATAACTAACGCCATTGAATCATTTCGTGAGAGTATCAGGACTATATTGCAAAAGTTCGAAAAAAGCAGAGAGCAATTCGCTTCAAACGAAGACTCGATCAAACATGCACGAAATAGATTACAAGAGAAACTGGCCCGGGGTCGTAGCGCTATTTCTTCAAAAGCGGAGGCAGAGATCGCTAAAATCAGAAACAAAGCCGAGCTTCTCACCGAAAACCTCAACGAAATCGGTCAGGAGAGAGACAGTGAGTACGAAAATTCGCTCGTGCACAACCGTGACCAGATGGAACGTGCAGATCAGATCGTCACGGCAGTAAATGACTTGATGAGACAAGCTGATGATTTCGAGCTTTTGGAGCTCAAGCCGAAGGTGATGCACAACTTGGAATTCCAGAAGGAGCTTAAGTGTAAACCGGCAAGGCTGGATTTAGCATTCATCGGGGTCAAATGTCAAGATGTCGTCAGTGATACGGATCTGGGGGAAATATTGCTCGAAGAGAAATGGCAGTTGAAGGAAGAGTTCGGCAAGGAAGGCAGCGGCGACGGGGAATTCCAGTTGGCCAACAGTGTTGCACGGTTCAACAACGGGGACATTGTTGTAACCGATACAATCCAGAAACGGCTATCGTTGTTTACCTCCGATGGGCAGCACAAAAAATCGATTGATAAAGGAGCTGGTCGCCATCAGTTGCAAGCTCCTTGGGGCGTTGTGGTTAACTATGATGACCTGCTTTTTGTCACAGACATAAATAAAGTGAAAGTTTTCGACTATAAGCTACAGTTTGTTCGCCAGTTTACACCTTCGGTTAACGATGCAGAGGGACTCTCACGGAGTGCTCTGACTGATATTGCTATGGACACGCAACGAGTAGCAGTTGCTGACTGGGGAAGAAAGATCATCAGTGTTCACAACTTGGACGGATCGATGATTGCAACCACAACTAATGACATGGTTAACTATTACATAGCAATTACCGACAAAATTCAAGATCGCCTGATCTTCACAAACTACAGGAAGAATAGGTTGCTGTGCGTTGACTTTAAGGGCAATGAGATGTTCAACGTAATGACCTCACTGAACGGGAAACCTGCGAAACCGACTGGTGTTCTGTGCGATGATGATGGGAGCATCTATGTCGCCGTTCACGCCGATACATTGGGCAAAAGTGTTGTGCAGCACTACAACTCAGATGGTGCATTCATATCGACGGTTGCTCGAGGGTTGTACAATCCATTAGGAATGGCGTTCACCCCCGCTGGTGGCGTCGTTGTCGCAGACAAACACTCCGTCAAATTCTTTCAGCGGATGTGATTTACCTGTCCACAAACAAGGCCATGCTAGAAACTTGAAACTGGCCTGAACTAATTGCTGGAGTAATCATGTTTTCGTAAAACCTGTCGGGAACTGAATTAACTGTTTGTAGTTAATGCCACTGGTCAATGCCACTGGTCAATGCAGATGTGATGTACCTGTTTGGAGCTGCACTTCCCAGACTCACAACTGTATGAAGTCGAAAGGGAAAACAAATCCGTGTACATGCAGGAAAAAGTTCATATTGTCCCCACACGGTGTTCATATATACATTTCTGAAAAGAAATAGTAACCGAATGTTTCTTAACATGCTTCACATTTATGCCAACGAAATCCTTTCACTTGGAGATACTCTTTTAACAACGGACACTCTGTTCTCTAAATTAAATTTATTATAACGATGTACTATGTTCGATAATGTTCATAGTAAAAGTACACGTTTTAGATATCCTAAGTAGCTAATATCCGCTCCGTTCACAAGTACCCCCTCACCAGCAAAGAGAGTACAGTTGGGGGTGACCGAAGACGCCATCTTGCCTGACTGCAATTCGTTTGCCGCGCGAAGCGCATCCACTGCGTGTACATAGTACACATCTCCTGGTGTACGTGCGTCACACACAACGAACGGTGCGCGTCAACCAGCGAAATGTCCCGCCCATGGGACGTCGTTGCTAGGTAAAAGGGCGCCCTCTTTTTCGGCGCACGGAGCCCATAGCATCTTAATTAGAGTCTATTTGGCCGATCTTTATACATTAAACGGAAATATTGGGATGATTTTAATGGTTAAAGAAAATCGATATCGAAAGTGACGATACAATGTGTACATTGAACAAGTGGGCAAGGTAACATTAATGTGTAAATATACGATCGAAGATGTATCACGCTTTGGACATTTTGTAGGATGTCTTTAACTTTCTTCTTCTGCCTTAGGCCATTTATACTGTAGACTTAAATTAGTTCCGTTGATCACGAAACTTTAATACAGACTATTACACGAACCATTATTTAAACATATGTGAATAACATTAATTTAAAAGTATGCTTGGAATGTCTTTGACACAACGCAAAATCTCTTCAAAGTTATACGATTCTATGTTAATTACTTTATACACGAATTGACATCACTTGTGTTTAGGCAACAGTGTTGATGCAAAGTACAAATCACATGTCAAATATACAAAAGAATGAGAAAAGAAAAGTCATCTATTGAATTATCTGGATGTTATTTCATTGTTGCAAACACTGATTTCTCTACATTTCTTTGAAATGAAATCAGAGGGAACTTATCAATTGAGTTTTTAGGTGCAACAACTGCGTATACTGCATTTTACTTCCGGCGAAAGCGTGAAGACGAAACGGTCATGTTGGTGTTTATTAGTCTCTATCTGCGCGATCACTTGGTCTTGCATGTTGTGTCTTTTGTTGTAGATATGTTCATGAGCTATCAAAGTTCAGGAACACTCTATCCCTTCTCCTTATCGTCCTGTTGCTGCAGAGAAAAATGATTTACAATTTTAGATTTAAAATAGAGGTAAACAATGCACCCCACCCAACAAAAACATAAGCGAGCCCAGTGAAGCTGGTCCCAGAGCGCACATGTCTATTTGATTAGTTTGGAACAGATATTCGGAATTCTTTCATGCATGTCTCCAGATACTTACACGTCAGCAACCAATCTTTATTTCAGTGATCCCATTAACAAAAAACTTGCATTAATATATTTTTGCATCGTGTATTAATTAGACCAGTGCCATCATTATTGATTGTGGTGAGATTTAGTGGGCTACTTTTGCAAGTCAACGATGATGAAATGCAAAATCAATGTTTTGCTTATCTGTGGTCAAGGCGCGAACGCAATGAACGCTGAGGTTCTGCCCTTTCCAACAGAACTTTGAAAGAAGAATTTTTGTCGTATCAGTCGGATGACTTTATTTGATCGAATAAATCATGTTTTCAAACATTTGTTTGTAGGAGCATAATTCATTAGTATAACTGATGCCACTATATCATTTCGTCAGAGTGTCAAAGACACATTGCGAAAGTTCGATAAGAGCAAAGAGCAATTTGCATCAAACGACAACTACATCAAAACATGCAAGAAGTATATTGCAAAAGAAACTGGCACAGGCTCAAAGTGATATTTCTGCGAAATCGCTAAAATCAGAAACAAAGCAAAGCTTCTCACTGAAAAATTGGACGGAATCTGTCAGGAGAGAGACAGTCAATACAGAAATGCGGTCATGCACAACCGTGACCAGATGGAACGCGCAGATTAGATCAGATAAATATGTTGCAAATTTGATATTCGGTTTACCTTAGTTTTAAACTTGTATATTTTCCAGTTTGCAGATCAAATGAAGACATTCAGCGGGGAGATCTTCGAGTAATCTAAGTTAAAGATGTATTCCCGTGCCATTTTCGAATTTCAATTCAAAAGATAGACTTTTGTTTTCATTTTTTTCCCTCTAGCAATATAAACCTATTCACTTTTGAATGAGACATTGAAAAAAAATCCACCGACGTTTAAATATTGAATTATTTCTTTACAAAATACATGCATACAAATTGAATAATCATTGGGAGAAAAAACGAATCTATTTTTAAGAGGATTGGGTAGGCATCTTAATTTAGCTCTATACATTTTGCGAATATTCTTTTCTTTTTACCAAAAAACGGTAGTTCGTTTAAATAATTGTGTTCGAGCTGAAAAAGCTGCATATTGTGCAGATGTAAATAACCAAATGTAAACAGATGGATCATCAATTTCAGATTTTTAGAATTAGACCGGTATTATTAGTTTAATTTTTGAATGTTGTTTCCTCTTCGACATTTGGAAAGAGATTTTTAAAGGGGAGAACATTCAAGAATATGCGTAAAATTTAAGTTCATTTTCAATTCTTTCATCAAACTCAGCTGCGTTGTTTCCTCACAGACCACAGCAGGTTTGAACAGAGTAAAATATGATGTCTTTTTTAACTTCAAAGAGAAAACTGCTACATCACAATCTGCCCATTAGTTAGAAAGACGGGGTCGCATATTGGAGTTAAATTAACACTGCCGCGCTTCGTTATACTGAAGAGGCATGGTTTATGCACTGAAGATGGGCAAGAATGAATCACACTTTTCCAAAATTCTTGGAGTTTCAGTCAAATTCATGACAAGACAATTTCGGATCAAATACGCAATGTCACAACTCGAATAAAATGAACGATGACTCAGAAATATCTGAATTTCTTTTGATTTGACTCGAAAGTGGACGACTTGTGATTGTCTTCTGATGACTTGTGGTCGTTTACTGATGACTTGTGATTGACTTCTGATGACTGAACTGCGATGGATTTCTGATAACTTTTGATTGACTTGTGTTAACATTTTGATTGATTTCTAATGATTGTTGATAGACTTCCGACGAATTGTGATTGACATCTGCATCTTTTGGAAATTAGCAACAATAGCTTTGTCGCGCAGTTCTGTTACTTTTGATATATTTGATTGAACATAAATTGATCTTCACATAGAACCTCCCCATGACACATGGGCGTCGCCAAGGGGGGGGGGGGCGGAGCCGGAACAGGAAAACAAGAGGGAAAAATTAAGTGTGAAGTCACATTTGCTATGAATTTAATACACATTTAACAAAATGGGTGTCTGCAGGGTGTCAATGGGGGTGGGGTGGGTAAATGTCCCGCCCACCCCCGAAATAATGATAACCTGAGAATTTGCTAGAGAACGTGCCAGGATTTTGATGACAACATGTGCTTTGTTCCCCCCCCCCCCCCCGAAAAAGTCCTGGCGACGCCAAATGGACACCACCCACCAACCAACGTCAGTCCCAATGAATTTCTTATTGAAATAAAGCCAGGAACTGTGAGACAGTGAGAGGCGGTGGAATATGTGTGAAAGGGGGGGGGGGGAGGGGGCAAAGCACCTTCTGATCAAAAAGCCCGCCCGTTAAATTCGAAAAGTGTGTGTGGACGTGTGCGGGGGGGGGGGGGGGGGGTTGCAACTTGTTAGAAGCTTTGGGCCGCACTTTTTATCCTGTTTTCCCCTCATTTACCTGTATTCAGTACAAGAACCCATTGAGAGAAAGGGATGAGTACACTTGTCTACGATAACGATTTAAAAACAGTAATACTAGCTCGTGTTCTCGTTTAATTAGTAAATTTTTTCGGGGGGAGGGGTGACAGGAGACAAGCCCCCAGCAGCTGAATTGGTCAAACAAATGAGAGTGGGAGAAAATTTCCCAGTTGTGAGGGGGAGCTATCCGCTCCTGGGGCAACCCTCCTTTCTGCCGCCCATGTGGACTGCACAAAGTAATTTCGCACTGTAAGCCGGTGATTTCTGCGCACTGTGCCAAAATAAGTTATATTTCCAGATATGCATGTGATATCAGACAAACCAATTTAAACGTGAGTTGACCGAGGTGGCAAAATATAGGTTTACTGGTCCTCGACGCATTCGAATATACATTATTTAAAGAATGTTAAAACAATAATAAAATTATACAAAAAAAAACACGTAACAAACAATAAAGTGATATTCATGTCCTGGTCAATCAAAATTCATCATTAAATCATATAAACTAATTAGCCTCAATGAAATATGGGCCTACTTCATGGTATTAATATTACTGCGTCTCATTTTACCTGATAAAAAATCTAATCATAAATACGTCTTGATTACTAGCGCATGTTGAGAGGATTTCATAGAACAAGATCGTTTTCCTGTGTGTATGTAATGTCCGTTTTTAGCTTCTGTAGCTTCACGCAGAGAGCGGCTGCTGGTTTAAACTTTGAACTTGAATCAGGTGCATTCATAGTCTTGGCCCAAGTCGCCAGTGATCAACAGCAATAGTGGCATTGCTGTGCTGTTGCTCCGGATCCGTGCATGATCACCGCAGTATCTCGATCGTTGATTGGTTCCCTTAAAAAGCGCTGATATGATGCTCGATAACGTACCGCGGGACGTGTATGTTTACAACCGTCGGGCGAGCCATTGAA